TTTTTGTCCTATATGAAATATGAAAAATGAACTCACAATATTTTGAATCTAACAGCTGTCTATGTCCCTGAAAGGAGGTTGTTAAAGGAAATTGTTGGCCTGGCTGAAGAGGCGAGGTCTTCTGTTCCCCTGTACAAGGGTTTTGGTTGTGATGGGGTTGGGACCTACAGTATGTCTCCTTTCAGAGACATAGACAGGTATGGGGCACTGCAGGCTAACAGAACAAGCCAAACGACCTCCATTCCAAAGGCATGGACCTGTTCATCCATTTCAATTTGCACATTTTCTAAGCTAAAACAATGCTTTGTTGGACTACTGTATAAAGCCTCAAGCTCAACGCTATTCCTTACATTTTGAATTGACAAAGCTTCCTAAATGGGAAGAGAAACATCTTCAAATTTGGAAACAAACTCAAGTGGATTGTTTTTTTTACTTTTTGGATAGATTTTAAGATGTTTTTAAGACAGTTGGGAGTCTGGAAAGCTCTGGAGAGTAGAAAACCCCAGTTAAAGCTGTTACTGAAGGGAACAGGAGTAAACCTCAGTCTGTCCAAAGGAATCATTCTTGTCAGTAATTCTAACTATCTCCAGCCAGGTGTTAATTAACCTTTAAAAGTTAAGACTTTCTATAGATTTCTGTGCCACTTAAAATGTTTAAATACTTTCTCTGGCATATAAGCTATGGTGTGTTGGATTCTGTATAGATTAAAGGATATCCAATATAAACTTGTGCATCTGATTCCTGTTTTTTCTAAAATGATGGAAGTTTGTTCAATCTGCTCCATCATTCAAATGTTCGATTGGACTTTCAGGCAGATGTCAAGCTACTCAGCTTTGTTTTTTGTGTTCTATTTCAGGTATACGATGTAGAGAAAATCCTAGGAATCCTGCAGACTGAAAACATAACAGTTTATGCTGAAGCCTATGATGTAGATCTGAAGATCGATCCAGGTACAAACTTTTACACCTGTGAAGTATTTTTAGATTTGAGGCTGTTATTTCAAATTCCAGGCAAACATCAAATTCAGTCTTTGTTACAGAGTGAAACAACATTTAAAGTGTATACAATGGCCCCTTGATTTTACGTTATTATATCATGTTCTACTCCACCATATTAGTTTTTAGTCATTTGGAGCTGTTCTGAAGATATTCGGTTTTGTAATCCAAGTAACGTCTTCCTTTGAGAAACGAGTTGAGGCACAAACTAAATTGTTCATAATTTATTCTTTATGGTACGCCAGCATTCATAACATGTAGGTGAATCACTGTCCCCCAGACATCTGCTGTTATATTTTTTATATTTATATATTTTTAAAACAAAGCGGAGTTTGTAAGAAGTCATCCGCGCGCCAGACTGGAGTTGTGACAGGCTGCTACGCTCTACCCATTCTATTCATTCGGCTAGCTAATCTGAATCGTTCAATGCCATTTCGAGAGCGAGATCATCTGTGGTAGTAGCAGTAAACATCTTCCAGGCATGTGAGTAAAACTAGCAGCAGTTCAGCGGACAGGATTAATGAATGGTAGCTGGCTCGCACGGATGACGTCATACACACTCCGCTTTGTCATCGATTAGCAGTCCAACACACACGAAGGCCGGTCTTCTGTCATATGAGCATACACAGTCAGACCAGCATTCCCATAGTCAATACACATGGGCAAGACATCAGATTTGCACAACATATTCTCATTATCAGTTCATATGAAATCGTACGAAAAGTTATGCACACTATCTCGTATGTTTTGGACTATTTTCCCCAAAAAAACAGATCAGTGCGCATGCGCAGGCAGACAGACAAAAAAGCAGATCCGCGGACGGACGTAAAACTGGGAAAAACAGTGCAAAAATCACTTCTTCATGTCTCTTACTACGTTGCTTTCTGTTTTATACCTTAGGGTTAGGGTCAGGGTTAGGGCTAATTGTTTTTTAAATTCTATTTTCTTGAATGGTGCGTAAGATCCGCATGCGCATATGACGAAAAAAACTTCCAAAACGTACGAAATTATGGTGCATAACTTTTCGTACGATTTCATACTAACTCATAATGAGAATACACTGATTTGCATATATCCCTTCAGTTTTGTATGAAAAATAGATTTTAAAGTAACTTGACAGGCGTGTATCCCTTTAGTCATGTACAAAAAAAAACAATTTAAGCTCAGAAAGCCAAACACTTCAAAAAACACCAAAAATTAAGTAATTAAATTGTTTTTTTTTTTGTACATGACTAAAGGGATACGCGCCCATTGAGGTAGTTTAAAGTCTATTTTCCATACAGAACTAAAGGGATAAACTAGAGGGGTAAACTAAAGGGATAAATTAAAAAGGATTAACCAAAAGGATAAACAGTATTGATTATGGGTATGCTCATCTGACAGAACACCGGCAAACTCATCCTTTATCTCAGTTTATTTCAAGGGATCTATAAGGTTCCTCACCGAAATCCTCCACTCTTTTTTTTTCAGCCACCAGTTTGGCCTTTGGAATAATCAGATGCCTTACAGATGCAAAACAGCAGCTAACACTCACAAATAAAGGAAAATACGACTTAGCCTTCAAGTGAGTGTTTTTATCTCTGCGTTCTCAGTTTTAGGTAGAAAACACTTTATTTCCCAGATTGATCTCTTTTCTGCATTTTTCTCTTGTTTTTAAGGTTTACCTTCGGGCATCCTGACCCATCACTCGCCAACATAGGGTCCATGTTCACAGTGTCTCCACAGAGCGGTACTCTTTTGGCCCATGGGAAAGCCGAAGTGATAGTGATCGTCTGCAGACCGGATAAGGAAGTCTCATTGGAAGAAGAACCCATCCTAAGCTGCCAGGTGTTGTTCACTGACCCAACCTCCTAGAGGGGTTTACATTCTTTAAAAATTGTTGAAAAATCATTATCTTCCCTTTGGATACATTTGGATTTTGTCTGTTTCCAGGGTGTAATTAATTATCCCAAAAACAAACATAATGATTTTAAAAACAAGAACTGCACTGGAAAAACGATCTAGAAATAAGTAAAGATTTCTCAAATTAAATGCATTTACCCTTAATTTGAGTAGGTAAATGAGATGATTTGCCAATGTAATGAGTATTTTTACTCTTAAAATACGATATTTTGATCAAAATGCACTTGAAATAAGACAATGCAATTGTGATTTCTTATTTTAAATGCAAATTGCCTTGTTCCATTGGCATGTAAAAAAAAATATTTTTTTTAAATATTCAGCCTTCAATTTACTGGAGACATGTTTGAACAGCAATAGCCTAAACATTGCAGGGAAGTGGCTCCGGAGGTCAGACGTTGTAGTCTCTTGATTTAATGCATCAGTTTCTTGAAATAACAGGTGATTTAATCTTCTGCAGGTGATTGAACCCAACTTGAGAGGAGGAGAAATCATAGCCATCTTAAATATCAAGATTTCAATGCAAGCTGTTTTCTCCAGGTAATTACACTGAAGCATTATTGTTTAATAACAGGATAAAAACACATTTTTGCACTATGAATATTTTTATCTGAATATTTATGAATATGAATATGA